CGAATTTTACGACGCCTGCTGCCTCTCTGTCTCTGCTTTTATCGGCCACCCTTCGCTGTGCCTTCGCGTGTATATCTATCCAAAGGTAGGCAGCGAGGGAGGTTGAATTTATTTATAAGTACTACCCTCTGGAGGCCGACAAAGCGAAGTCGTCCTGGACGGAGAACTGTAAAATCCTCTTTACCTGTCCGCGTTTCTCCTACATCAATTATATCCGGATTTCCTTGTTACGACCTGTCGCAGGTTTATCTCAATACTGGATAACAAATTTCCAATTTTTCCTACGCTTTTCGTCTCCCAACGCCCGATTATTACTCGAAATCCAAGCTCTTCGATATCATCGTGAACTCCGCGGACGAATTTTCAATTTTGAGACGATTCCGCTTAATCGACACGACCGACCAAGTTCACCGCAGCTATTAAACGGATTACCCCGAAGTATTGGACCAGGGTTCTATGTAATATAGAGCTGCGGCTGCATCTCGGAACAGAGTAGACGGGAAATTCCCTATAAACTTCAAATTTTACGGCTGCAAATCGTCCTCGGCAACTGTCGTCCCGTGGAAACGAAGCGAAACAGCGCGACACACGGATAGCGATGCGTTCTGCAATACACGTACCAACGACGTGAGAACAAACACGGCAGAATTATAGATAAGCACGCCGAATATGTAATTAAACAGACCGCAGGTATAAATAAATAAACTGGAAATGTAATTTTGGCGTAACGCCGGGCGAGAATGAAAATCGGTGGGAAAATCAAGCGTCATCGATGTGTAAATTAGCCAATGAAGACTCGGTCGGACGAAATTTATTGGCTGCATATTTCACGAGGGAGAAGAGAAATGAAAATCGTCCCGAGCGCTTCTAAAATGTTTATCGACGCTATCCGAGGGTGGAGCGCGATTCGATTCATCGTCGCACCCTCGCGACGTTTGGTAAAATAGAGGAATTATTCCGAGCCATTTCTCGCGAGATTGACTCGCAGCCGGTAGTAATTGAGATGCGAAATAATAGCGGCCACCGGATGCTTTGTGCTATATCCTCTTCAAATTCCTCGCTGTAATCTAAACGTTTTCCCGAGCAAACAGGCTCGAAATTAATCGCAACCTGCCTCGAGGATCGGCAAGAGGATCGCAGTCTAAATCAGGGTGCCTTTGTAGGAAAGCTCTGAACGGAATTTCTGGAACCACGACGCGAAAAGTGGAAAAATTTCAGGATCGCTAACACGAGAATAAGTCAAAATACCTGGCTGTATCTTTTGTAAATTCGTGATGGATTTCTTAAAAATTCCTAGGAAATAGAGAGTCAAAAGATACAGTAATAATGTTCACAGACACTGATCTAAACGAGGAGACGACATTCTCTTTCCGCAGAAAGCAGTTGATCCCGCGTTAAATATCGATCGAAACACCTAATTCGTTCGAACGACGATCGAGGAACAAGAGGGTGAGAAGGGACAAAGGGAGGAGATAAATGGTGTCTGTTTAAAGCTGACAGGCAATCACTCCTCGTTCCTAATCGCGCCTTGTTTGCGTTATCACGTGCGTGACCCTACCCCGGCTACCTGCCGGGCTACGGGCCTGGTGGGGAAGGTGAGCCCCTCTACGGGCAAAAAGGAGGATCGGAGCTAATTGTCACACACACTACCCGATCACTTGTCATTCGAGATCCAATGGTCACCGAGGGAACTACGTTCCAGCGATTGTTCTTCCAGGGAAAATCGAGCGAGAGGAACCTTGGGGGAAAAACCGAGTCTCTGATTTCACTTGGGGTATTAATTACGCGAATCCGGAAACTGGGAGAAGATGACCAGGTAACTGAATTACGAGTCCAGGTGCTCCTCGGTGCCACGCGAGTGTCAGTGACGAGTGAATTATCGTTCGCAGTGTCTACCTTTGGTTTCTCACTTGTTGGATCATTTCGAGTAATTTCCTGACCAACATCCTGGGACACGAAGAGGGTCGGGAAGAATGGGTGGTTAGAATCCACGGTGGGCCACAAGTTGCAACCCTCTTAGCGTTGCAGAGCGGCTACAAGCATCTCGGACCGGTAAGTCGATTAATCAAATTTTGAAACGAACGGTGCTTGGTCATACGAAGTTCCTATTATCCGCTTCTGTAGAGTTAATCGATTCGGCAAACGAGTGGCCTGTACATCGACTTTGCGTAGGATAAGCACGTCGTAAACACGAATTACGGAAGGAATTGTTCATTTTCCCGCGGTCGTTCGTGCAGCGAAGGTTTTAATTTTTCCAGGAACGCGTGGTCCGGAGAGTTAATATTTGAGAACAGGGACGCGAAACGGGGTGAAAAAGTACGAAAGTCCTCGCTCCATGGAATATTCACCGGTAATTCCGGGAATAAGTTCGTCAACGTTACGTAGAACAGCTTTCTCCCACCCCGAACACGGGCACTGCGAGATGCAATTAAAACTTGAACAACTGCTTAATAACTTATTGTTAGCCACTTGTGCAACGCCCAATTCTAGTTTAACTTCGACCAGAGCATCCCGCCATTGTAACTTAACTTTCGTGTTTATCTCAGACAGAAGTAGTCGCGAACGAACTTCCTTCCCGTTGAACGGTAGCAAGAGGACCGGCAAGCGAATTTATTGCCGCGAAACCGAAATTATTCTTGAGAAATCGACGAAAACAAACCCGTGGAACCGTGTGCCGTTGAACACCTTACCGAATCATCGTAAAACGTGCAGAGGGGGAAAATACGGGACAAAACATTCGAGATTCCTCTCGTCTCGACATTTCCCCGTCGAGCTTGCGATTCCGCTTTTTAAACGTCGAATGTTCTCTACACTCTGACGAATTTACAACAGCACGATCGTTCCTCTAGCCGAGTTACAGATAACCGAATCGAAGCACGCAACGTGCAAGCGTCATCGAGGAGAGACTCGAGTGTCGGACGTCGAACGAAACTAATTAATAGTAGTGGAACAGATCCGCGACACCATATGCGATGTACAACCAGATGTTTTACACGTCCGATAATCCGCAACGAGTCACTCTAATCTCAAGTGTTCGTTAAACAGCGGGGGCAAAACGTGTGTCCGGTCGATTTCACGCGTGACGCAAACGCGACGTGTGAAGAGAGTCGCGATCCGCTTCGAAACGTTGTTGTTACCATGGAGAACCGTGAGTGCCGGTTCTTATGATGACAGGAATAGGGCACGGGAGGGGAAAATCGAATAATTTCAGAGAAAAACGAGCGCTCGGATTATAGGTATGTCACGAATCGCGAGTTTCGCAAATATCGACCCCTGATTCCACCGAGGGGGTGCAAACGGTATCGTTTAAACAGGGAAACTGGAAAGGACTGATCGAATTTTTCCCGGATTACGATTTCTCTCGGCGTAATCACCGCTGCAAGAATTGCAGGGGTTATTCAGATACCTCGTGCAAACGTTTCACGAGCATATTTTATCTAGATCTCTGCTGGCGAAACCATTATCGTCGATAAATAATAATTACGTATAATTTCGATTATCTCGATGTAATTTTCTAGGAATACTTCATCCTTTCTCGGCCCTCGAATAATCGTAAAATAAACGTAAACAAGCCTGACAGACTGCGAATTAACTACAGGAAGAATAGGAAAACCCCGACGTGTCTGAAGATGCACGACAGATGCGACCCCTGTGCATATCGTGCCCCTATTAAACTTGGTGAACATCGAAGCCACGGTTCCCTTCCGGAAACATTTCTCCGATCGGGTAAATCGCGATGCATCGCGAGGAGGATCCGACAACGTAGAAAGGAAGAGGAAACGAGACGATCGGCTAAGACATCGGCCGGTCGACGAGCAAAAGGGAAAAGATACGACGGGGATATCTTTTTGGTCGGTGGACGTTTTCTCTCGCACGACTTGATCTCAAGGCAGAACTCGTTTTGCAAAGTGCACGAGCCAGGGGGAAAGTAGAGAATAGAGAGAAGAGGGAAGAGAAGCGGGGAGGCGAGAGGAGAGGAGAAAAGAAGAGAAGCGAAGAGCAGGAGAATGGGAACGAGAATGGGAACGAGATCTGGCCGATGTCTCGGCGAATCTCGGCGCGGATACGGAGGGAGAGAATGGCTGGAACGAGCGATCAAATGGTTCGTGAGGCTTGCTTACCGAGATAATCTCTTTGCAGCGATCCGTGTGCCGTGGGGAAACGATTTGGCCGCACTTTTTCGACGCTTCCCCGCTACATTCACGTCTCGCTGGATCTCGAAGGCCTGAAATACGTTTACGCTTTCGCGCAGATTTACCAGGCCAACGGAAACAGGAGGTAAGAGAGGGAGTTGCTTGGAAAAATGTACGGGATTCGCGTTCAAAGGCTCGAGAAGCTGGGAAAATTCCTGCAGTGAACGGGAGCCCTCTTTCCACGCGTATTTGACTGGGGCCACAAAGCGGAAACTTCTCTCGGAGAAATTGAGACGCGTCCGTGATCTTCGAATAACGACGACTTCTCGCCCCTGCTCCCTCTCTTTCCGCACTTTCCGAAAAGTAGATTCGACGTATCGCGCGCTGTCACGACAGCGACGCGCGCTTGCAAGCGTATGGGAGAAGAATCGAATTCCGTCTACGCTTTTGCCAGCACCCGGGCGTGAACGCGTCGAGTAACTCTTAAATCAGGTATCACGATAATAGGTGTAAGCTCGCCAGACGATGAGAATCTACCGGAGTTTGTCGCGCGAAGATCGTTCTAATGAGAAAAGTTGAGATTCTCCGCACGACGGTCTCCGGAGTCGCTATAATAAAACAGGCAATTTATCGCACGGTACAGTAACGATCCCCGAATTTAAAAACGTAAAAATTCGCAATTTAATTCGAGGAAAAAAGCATTTGCAAGAAAATCACAAATCAAAGCGGATGCAATAATCGATGCGCATCGATCCAATCGAGAACCAACATCGAAGTACATCGCTACAGCGAACTTGGCGAAAAAGCTGGACAAGAATATTCGAAAAAGATAGAATCTCGGCGATAAAGAGAGAAGAGCTCGAGGACACCTCGGAATAAATTCTAGCAATAAAAACGAAGCTGTGTACGAACCGAAAAAAGAAGTTGGAGTAATAAAAGGGAGCGGCGCGTGGGTACCAAAGGGAGCGATGAAAGGGTAGGGAAAAAGAAGCCAATAAAAGGAGCAACATAGACGCATTAAAAAAGTTGCTGCAGTAAAAAGGGACAGTGCAAGGATACCGACAAAGGAGAACCAAAAGACACGAAAAAAGAACTTTCGCCGAAAGTTGCGAGGGGCTTCTTCGCGAACAATGATTAAGCGTCCCCTATTTTTCTTCCAGAATCTTTCCCCATGAACTCTCTCTCTCCCTCTCCGGAGAGCCCCTTATCGACAAGAGAGCCATATGTAAATTGCGGGAAATTCATCGCGCGAGAGTTACACGCGTGCACTTGCCGGCAAGGGAACGCTCTACCACGCGGAAAGACGCTGCTCGCCGTGATCGTCGCAATTACCATAATCATTTTCGTGCCTACGAAAAGTGACGCGTGTTTTCTGAACATCAGCCGGCATAATACGAGTGGGCAGCACGCGGCATAATTACGCTAACAGAGTGACTCTCCTTTTTCAACCGCTTTACCCCAGCTTCAACCTCGCCTGGCCCCCGGCACCGTCGCCGTCGAGCACCATACTTCTGCGCCCGCGAAACTGCATTTCCCTGCAGCTGCAGCCACGAAAGCCGACTGGCGCAGTTGCAGCTGCACAGCAGCCTCGCGGCCGACCGCAATCCACGGTGAGCGCGATTCACGTGCCCTCGCTCGCTCGTATATTTTCCAGTCACGTCGTGTAATTATTTCGTATAATTAAGCTCACGTGGTCGGCCTCAAAGGGCGAAAGGGTGGAATGCTCGGTGGCGAAAAAACCATTCGAACCCCGTTTTTATGACCGACTTGGGGGTAAAGAGGAGCGGCGACGACCGTAATTGGTCTGGGAATTGGGTTATTCGGTCTTTCCATCGAGATCCCATTGACGATCGTGGATTCTTCGGCAACTTGGAATCGAGGGAGGATAAATTTTTAGAAAAATCGGGGAAATATCATTTTTTTTTTTATTATTCATTCGATAATCGATCTTGAAGAACGTATCCTCGTCGAAGTTAGAGAGAAGATATTTCAGATGACAGGTGTTGTGGTAAAAACTAAATAGTAAAGTAATCTCTACATCCTAGCGATGCGAGGGTGATCCCTTCCTCTGCGTTTTGTCTTTTGTCTCTCGTTTTCTGGACACGTCTTGTGACTTGCGTGCCCTAAACAGGTCAGTTCTAACCGTTCGCCCGTTTAATAAATATCTGTAGTTTTTCCACCGTTTCCACTAACTACTATTCCTTTGCGTTACAACCCCTTAATAACAGGAATACACACGGTTCTCGGCGAATAAAGCGAAACCGTGTTAACGCGGGTTACCGTGTTATCTAATCGACGAATAAAAAGAAGGAAATCTCGGGGAAATTCGATCGGTTCGAGTAGTCGGAATTAAAGGATCGATAGTTGCACCGGCGATGAATTTCGCGCGAATGGTTCCTTTTAAACCATTCCGCTGCTAAACGATTATACGAGACATTTGGGTGCCATCGATTTGGCAACGGGACGTGGGATCCAGCTGCAATTTTTCTCTGACTACCGAGTCGTATAGTAAGGCTAATACATCACGCGTATTGAATGCGAACATGTTGGAGAGATAACTCGGGCCGAAAGCGTTCTCCGAATGACTTTTTAGTCCCGCTGCCAAGTCGTGTCTCGCAATTACATATTTTCCTTCTGCTCGAACCTGCCACGCGTGTAAATACGCGAAACCCCGTCCAGACGATTGTAATTCACCGTAGCCAACGTTCCTGCGAGCCACGATTTATCGTCCTTCTATTCCACGGTCTAATACAAACGTCAGCGAAGACTTGTCCAAATTTTTGACGACCACCCTCGCGTTTACGTTCGTTCGCGTAGCAGCCACACGCCTGGAACTGAGTGACTGACGGAAGTGGAATAGGGGAAAAAGTAATTATTCATCGGGCTCGGGAACGAACTTCCGTCGCCTCGAAAGCTTTC